GCAAAATCCGTACTGTTTGCCTTCTCCTACTTACACGTTCGAAAAAAAAAAAAAAAAAAAAAACAGAAAATAGGTCAGAGGCTGTTTGCTTTCTTCCACTGACCAATCAACATTTCTTAAACAAGATTTTGGCATCACGAGAAAAATCAAAAAAAAAAACAACAAAGAGAGAGAGAGAGAAAGAAAGAAAGAAAAAAATACAAACTCAACAAATACACTTTTTTCAAACATATGAAACATAACAATTATACCTTCTTTACAATTTCAAAATTTCCCCCTTTTTTTAAAGGTATCCTTAAAACACATACAATCACCTTTTCTTTTTCAAAAAAATTCGTTTTCCTCCAAATCAAGGGAACAAGATGACACAGGAGGAGGAGGAAGAGGAGGGAGAAAGGGAGAAAGGGAGGAATAGAGGGAAGGGAGGAAGGGAGGAAGAAGGCAGGAGGAAGGGGGGTGTAAATACATCAATATACATTCCACACACTAACTGACGAGTGTACCCTATGATTTGTACATTAATATCTATCCTGTATGTAACCCTTTGATTAAGCCGCCGGACCAGGCCAGGCCGACGCTAGGGGGTGGCGGGGAGGGGAGGGGGAGGGGGGGTCAGAAGGGAGGAAGAAGAGGCGGTGGAAGAAGAAGAAGAGGGCAAGGGGGAGGAGGAACGGGGGAGGAAGGAGGAAGGAGAGGAAGGGGAGAAAAAGGGGGAAAGGAGGAAGAAGGAGAGGAAGAAGGAGGAAGAATAAGTGGGAGGGGGTTTGGTGGGGGGCATATGAGGATGGTGTGGTGGTGGTTGGGGTGGGGGGGGGTGGTGGTGGGTGGAGTCGAAGAGGTAGAAAGGAGGAGAGGGGGCGTGGCACTTCTCGCTCCTCCTTCGGATACAGAAACTTCAGGAGGCGTTGCTTGGTGGGTTTGGACGTGGGGGGGGGGGAGAAGGGTGATTGGAGGGGTATGGGTTGGAAAGGGAAGAAGGAAAGAGGAGAGGGGGAGGAGAGAGAGGAGGAGGGGAGGAGGAGGAGGAGGAGGAGGAGGAGGAGGAGGAGGTGGAGGAGAGGAGGAGGAGGAGGAGGAGGAGGAGGAGAGGAGAGGAGGAGGAGGAGAGGAGGAGGAGGAGGAGAAGAAGAGGAGGAGGAGGAGAAAGGAGAAGAGAAGGAGGGAGGAGGAGGAGGAGGGGGGAAGGATGTCTCGTCCAGCTCCGGCCAAGGTACTCTGCCCCTCTTTCTCTTGTTTTTATCTTCTCTGTCTCCTTTCTCTCTCTCTCTCTCTTTCCATTCTCCACGCCACCCACCGACATCTCCAAACTGATCAAGGCATTTCTGTAACTATCATTCATATATTCATTCATTCACACACACACACACACACACACACACATACATACACACACACACACACACACTCACTCACTCACTCACTCACTCACTCACTCACTCTCTCTCTCTCTCTCTCTCTTTCTCTCTCTCTCTCTCTCTCTTTCTCTTTCTCTCTCTCTCTCTCTCTCTCTCTCTCTCTCTCTCTCTCTCTCTCTCTCTCTCTCTGTCTGCATTACCCCCCCCCCCCCCGTGCATGGCGCAGCGAGAACGGAGACGAAGGGGGCAGGAAAACCCTTGCAGAGGTAGTGTCTGTTCTCGTGGCGATGGTATCCCAACTCCAAGATTTGAGGGAGTGATTGGGCGGGGGTGAGTGAGTGTGAGAGTGAGTGTGTGTGAATGAGTGTGAGTGTGAGAGTGCAAGTGAGAGTTAAAGTGAGTGTGTGAGTGAGTGAGTGTGTGAATGTGTGAGCGTGAGTGTGAGTGAGAATGCAAGCGTGAGTGAATGTGTGTAAGTATGAGAGTTGAAGTATGAGTGAGTGACTGAGTGAGTGTGAGTGTGTGAGTATGAGAGTTAGAGTGTGTCTATGAGTGTGTATGAGTGCGAGTGTGTGTTTGTATTCAATCATAAGTATCTTCATATTCATACGTACGTATGTTCATACCTCTGTACCTATACATGTAATGCATTTATATCTACACGTGTGAGCTCCAATCTAACCATGAACGCCAATGAGTATACAATAATGCTTACCTACAACAACAAGCATCATGTGTATGTTTTTCTACCAATACCCACGTACACAACGGACACCCCCACGTACACAACGGACACCCCCACGTACACACACGCGTCCAGTCCTTCCACACCCGTCCTTGATCCACACTCACGTACAGAAAGAGAACAGCATTCCTCGCATGGCACACAGATAGCAATTACATAAATAATAATAATAAAGAACTTCTATTGGATACAACAACAATGTGTGTTGAGTGACAAGTTATAATACAGTAGATCTTAGTTAATTACACTGAAGGAGGAACAACAACTTAACGAAGGGAGGGGGAGGGGAAGGGAGAGATCGGAAGAGCGTCGGGAGGAGGGGAGGGGAAGGGGAAGGGGAGGAAGGAAGGAAGGAAGGAAGGAAGGAAGGAGGAAGGAGGATGGAAATCTTGATAAGGGATGGATGGAGAGAGCGAAGAGAGAAGAGAAAGAGAAGAGAGAAGACGAAGCAGAAGAAAAGAGAAGAGAATAAATGAAACGCAAGAAGGGAAAGGAAAAAGACGAGAAGGAAGAATGGAAGAAGGCGAGAAGAGAACAAAAGAGAAGATAAATGGAGGAAGAAGACAGACGAGAGACGAGAAGCGTCAGCATGGTCGAAAATAGGCTGGTTACATATGACATAGAACTTTTCAATAGAGACCTACTTAAACTACCTATAATAATGCTATAGTTTTATGTACACATTTTACAAACAATTACTCGAAAGAATTTTTTTTTCTCTTTTTTTTATTTATTTATTTATCTTCTTTATTGTAGTTCTTTGGTAGTCCCGCCGTAAGCCTATTTAGGCCTACGGAAAGGGAGGAAATATAAAACGGAGAAACTGTTTGAATTAAGCATCATTATCATCACCATCATCATCATCATCACCATCATCATCATGTCATCATCAAATCCCGAAAAAAAAAATATTATACCAACAAATAGGCCAAATACGGTAATATATATATTCATATATATAATATACATAACTAATACAGTCAAAGAGTTGATGATAAATTAATGCCAGTGATTTCTTATCCCATTTCTTCCTTGTCTGTTTCTTCGTTTCCTTTATTCAGAACCGGAAACGCCAAAGGAAAAGAGAACAGAGAGAATCACCATTTTTTTTTTATCATCATCGCTATAAATAAAAACATCTTTTTTATCTATTTACGTATCTCGCAAATCCACGTGGGTTGGTTTCCGTTGACGCTAATCCAAATTAAAGCCAGATCAGAATGGATAAGAAATTAATAAAATCAATTAAGTCTATATATAAAAAAGAACGAAGAGAGAAAAAGAGAAACAAATCAAATAGTTCTTTCTTATGTGACTACATATCTAATCTCTATATCACCATTTTGTTCCGTGGATTTCAAAGTCTTTCCACTACTTTTATTCATTTTTTTTTTTCTTTCTCATTCTTCATCTTCGTCGTTATTTCTCCCTTTCTTAAAAGTTTCACGTCCTAGGAATTATCTTAATTGAAGAATCTGAATAAAAATTCTTGCTCCCGGTCAGCACTGAAGGGGAGGGGGAGGGGAGGGGGGTAAAGAGTAGGAGGAGGAGGAGGGATGGGGGGGGAGGGAGTAGAGGCACGTGTGAGGCCATACGCGGGTCCCTTACTTCACTTATGGCAAGTCCCACAAAGTCCTTTTTCTTTGTTTCTCAAAATAAAAATTATTTCCCTATATAGCACTTTTAAATCGAGGTCTTTTTTTTCTTTTCTTTTTTCTTCAAGGAGATTCCTCTGTTTGGCCGAAGAAAGGGGCGGGAAGTGTCCGTTTTCCCTCGCCCCGACTTCGTGGTTCTTCTCCTCGGGTCACTCGTTCGGCCGGAGCTTCCCTGGCCTCGGAGACCCGTTTCTCGTTCTCCACTTTGTCACTGGTTTTCGAGCCTCGCTTTTTTCTTTTCTTTTTTATTCTGCCTCCTTCCCTGCCTCCTTTCATTCCCTCCCTCTCCCTCCTCCCTCCTTCTCCCTGCACCGGCGCCCCCCAGAGGCTAAAACGCCTTCAAAGGGGACAGAGAATTGACCCGAGACGACATCCTCGGTCTCTTCTTATGCTTGTGTTCATTCTCGTTCTCTTTCACACACGAGTCACAGTCACGAGACACTAATACGTGCACCTGGAGACAAACAACGCGCTTTCTCTCGCCCTTCTTGGATTGGCACCCGACGCGAACCCGTGCCTCTTCTTTCGTCTTCGCTCTTGCTCTCTTCTCGTATTCCTCCAATTTGTTTTGTTTTTCTTTGTCACCTCGAACCTTTCATTTGTTTGTTTCCATATTTGTACAAGCCGAGTTCCTGTGGTTGGCTGAAGGCAAGAAGAGAGAAGGGAAGGGAAGAGTCAGTTCACGAACGGCACTGGCGGGCACCGAGCGTGGCACTCGAGTGTGTGTTAACCGCCGCTGGCACTTTTGGGCACTCGAGATTCGGGGCTTGAGTGTGAGTGTATGCACGTGCGTGTGTGTGCGTGCGTATGTGTGTGCGTTGAGAGATCCTCAAAACAATGTCACTTCCAATTCGTGTTTTATGTTTGTTCTCGTCTGAATGTCACTCCTTCCACTCACGCGGCGGTCCACTTGCACCTTTGTCCACGCGACACTCGCGCTCGAATAGTAATCTGCTTTACAACTGCTTCCACATACTTCTTGTCACTATTTCACACATACGACTGAAACTTCAGATTTTCTTCAACTAACGCTATATATATATATATTTCATTTTTTGCATTGTTTAATTCAGTAGCTACAGATATAGAAAATATTTATATCACTTCCGTTCCTCTTTGTTCCTGTAGCCACGCCCCTTCGGAGCCGTGGTGGTGGCCCGGAGGCACGCAGAGGCAAAGGCCGTCGCCTTCGCCCGCAGGTCCGTGGCCCTGGCGCGGCGCCGCCCTCGAGGCCCGCGGCGCGCCTTACTTGACCGCCGAGTTGATGGTGGCCGCCAGGGACGAGGCGGCCAGCGAGTTGGCGGCCATCTTCTCGTGCAGGGATCTGGTGAGGCTCTCGATTCTGCTGATGGACTCGGAGGACTTTCTGGAGGCCATGCCGAGGCCCGAGAGGCCGCCCGTGATGCGCGACTCGGACTGCTGGCGGAGCAGCGACGGGTTGGGGATCTGGCGCACGCTGGTGTTGGTGGCGCGGATGCTCTGCGAGGACGAGCACTTGGGCGCCGAGGACACGCCGCCGAGGGACGCCGCGCCCGACGCCGGGCTGGAGGCCGAGCTCGTCTTGTACGAGGAGCCCAGGAGCGAGGACGAGCTCTTGGTGATGGTGGTGCTCGAGGAGGACGCCGGAGAGCCCGAGGAACAGACGTTGTTCATGTAGTTCGAGGCCGAGGAGGACGTGGGGTTCGAGGAGGAGGAGGAGGTGGTGGTGGTGGAGGTGGTGGAGGTCGCGCTCGCGTTCGACTTGAGGTTGTTGGCGCCGCCCTGCTTGAGCTTCTGCTGCAGCTGCTGCCGCCGCACGTACTCCGCCAGCTTCTGGTTGGTGATCTTGAAGACGGGGTCGCCGGTGCGCTCGGGGTAGTCCTTGTCGCCCTTGCTGCCGCCGCCCGAGCCGGACGACGCGGCGCCGTTCGTCTTGCTCACGGACACCGACGGGATCTTGAGCGACGCCGTCAGCGCCGACTTGTGGATGGTGGTCCTGAGGCCGCCGTGGCTGGAGGCGCTGGCCTTGCTGCTGATGATGCTGCCCGCCGACTTGTGGCTGCCGTGCGACTTGGTGCTCGAGCTCCGCGAGTGCGACACGTGCGAGCCGCCGTTGACGCTGGCCTTGGCCGCGTGGTGGTGCATCTTGCTGGTGGCCTTCGTGGGCGTGTTCTTGGACGGCCTGTCCTGCAGCGCCGTCGTGATGGGGCTGATGGTCAGCGTGTCGCCAGACCCGTTCACGAAGCTCAGCGACTCGCTCACCTTCAGGCTCTTCAGCACCTGCTCCTGCGCTCGGGCCTGCGCCTCGGCCTGCGCCTGGGCCTGCGCCTGAGCCTGCGCCTGCGCCTGAGCCTGTGCCTGCGCCTGGGCATGGGCCATGGCCAGCTGCAGCTGCACCGCCGCGTGCGACAGCGTCATGAGGTCGCTGAAGGCCACGGCGTGCGGCGTGACGGGGCCGGGCACGATGGGCGGGTGCGTCCAGTCGAGGGGCAGCGCCGGCCGGCTGATCTGGGCGGCGGAGGCGGCCGCCTGCGCCGTCGACGTGGGCGACGCCGTGCACGTCGGGCTCTGCTTGAGCTTCTTCGACTTGTTGCTCTGCGTGATGGACAGGATGGTCTGCGTGCCCTGGCCCCGCGCCGTGCGGCCCGCCTTGCCTCCCGACGGAGGCGACTCCAGGCTCTCGCGCTGCGCCCGCGCCTCTCGGACCGTGCGGGCGTGGCGGGACAGGTCGAGGGCGCCCACCTCGTCCCGCTCCTCCTCCAGGTCGGCCGCCTCCTCGTCGTCGTCCTCGTTGTCGGTGAAGACGTAGCAGTCCTTCCTGAGCTTGCGCTCGCCCTTCAGCTTGCGGGTGAGGTTGATGGGCGTCTCGTCCGTCTGCACCAGCTTGGACACGGAGCTGGCCTCGGAGGGCGCGTCCGCGTCCGCCTCGGCCGACTCCGTGCTCACGTTCAGGTCCGTGTCCTTGTCGTCGCTGTCCGGGGGCTCGCTGGCGCTCGTCTCCGTCACGTCGATGGCGCTGTCCTCCTGCTCGTCGTCGCCGCAGTCCTTGGGCGCGGGCGCGCCGCCGCCCAGCCGCCCGACGTCGCCCGAGTCGCCCTCGGCCGAGCCGTCCCCGTCCGCGTCGCCGTCGCCCTCGGGCTCCGTCTCGTGGCTCGTGTCCACCTCGAGCGGCGTCTCCGAGTCGTGGTCGACGACCAGGTCGTTCGACTCCTTGGACGCGTCCAGGTCCTCCGACGCGTCCATCTGCTCCTCGTGGTTCTCCTCGTGGGGGTCCTCGGCGGGGTCCTCGGGGCCCTCGTCCTCCGCCGCCTTCTCGCCGCCCTCCTCCTCCTCCTCCTCCTCGGGCACCTCCTCTGGGGCCTCCTGTGCCTCCCCGCCCTGCGCCTCCTCCTGGGCCTCCTCCTGGGCCTCCTCGTGCGCCTCGGGGCTCTCCTCCTCCATCTCCTCGGCCGCCCCTCCCGCCCCTCGCCGCCCGCTCTCCCCTTCGCCTCGTCCCCGCCCTCGTCGCCGCCCTCGTCGTCCTCGGCGCCGCCGCCGCCGCCCGCCTCCCCCTCGGCCACGACGCCTCCGCCCTCGTCCACGTCTTCGTGGTGGAGGTCGAGGTGGGTGTGGACGGGCTGGTCCTCGAGCTGGTAGTGGTCGCCCTCCTGGCCGCGCCCGCCCTCGGGGGTCTCGGGCGGCGTGGGCGGCCGCGTGTGCAGCGACGGCTGGTCCTCGGGCGGCAGCGCCGTCGAGGCGTCGTCCGCGCTCTCCAGGCGCGAGATCTTCTCGGGGGGCTCCGGGCACTCCTCGGCGGCGAAGGCCTCCTCGCCGCCCGCCGCCGCCGCCTCCTCCTCCTGCGCGGCGAGCGCGGCCGCCTGCGGCTTCCGCTTCTTCACCTTGCGGGTGGCCACCACCTGGAAGCTCAGCTCCATCGGCGACTCCTGCGAAGGAACCAGAAAGGAAAGGGTTAATTAAGTCGGAACATCCCGCTCAGCGAAGCAGATCCTCCCACAGCAGCGGCCGACCTCCTCCGCGAGAGGAGCCGCGAGAGGGAGGCGCGACACGAGGTGATCCGCGGCGTCGCGCAACGAACACAAGAGTTCACTCGGTCTCTCTCTCGTCTCTTTTCGCTACCTCTCTCTAACTCTCTTTATCTTTCTTATTCCTGTCTCTCACAAACATAAACATAGTCCCCCACGTGCAAACTCTCTCTCTTACAAATTCTCACTCACACACGCGCGCGCGAAAGAAACAACTGGAGAAAAAATGAAAAGAGAAACATCCCTGAGAACCACGACGTGCAAGCGACAGAGACAGAAAGAGAGAGATAGAGAGAGAGAGAGAGAGCAAAGGAAAAAAGAAAAGAACAGAGAGAGAGAGAGATGGAGGCCGTCATCGATACAGCAAATGCCAACTTGTATCCATCCATCGCTATACACTGGCACTCCTTTCTCTCTCTCTCTCTCTCTCTCTCCCTTTACCTGGCACTGCCCTCGACGCACAAAGGGCGGAGATAGTGTTCCAGGGAGAGAGGCACTGGGCGACGGGCCGGGGGGGGGGGGGGAAGCACGGAAAGAAGGAAAGGGAGAGTGGGAGGGAGACAGAGAGAGAGAAACAGGAATGTGTGTGTATATATATATGTATGTATGTGTGTGTGTTGTGTGTGGCGCACTTCTGTGTTTGTATGTCTGTCTGTGTATGAATTTAGGAGTGTGGGAGTGAGTGTGTTTATGAGAGAGAGAGAGAGAGAGAGAATGTGTGTGAGTGTCTGAGAGAGAGAGAGAGAGTGTGTGTGTGTGTGTCTGAGAGAGAGAGAGAGAGAATGTGTGTGTGTCTGAGAGAGGAGAGAGAGAGAATGTGTGTGTGTGTGTGTCTGAGAGAGAGAGAGAGAGAATGTGTGTGGTGTGTGTGTCTGAGAGAGAGAGAGAGAGAATGTGTGTGTGTGTGTGTCTGAGAGAGAGAGAGAGAGAGATGTGTGTGTGTCTGAGAGAGAGAGAGAGAGAGGATGTGTGTGTGTCTGAGAGAGAGAGAGAGAGAGAGAGTTGTGTGTGTCTGAGAGAGAGAGAGAGAGAGAGAGAATGTGTGTGTGTGTCTGAAGAGAGAGAGAGAGAGAGAGTGTGTGTGTGTGTTAAGAGAGAGAGAGAGAGAGAATGTGTGTTGTGTGTCTGAGAGAGAGAAGAGAGAGAGAATGTGTGTTGTGTGTCTGAGAGAGAGAGAGAGAGAGAGAATGTGTGTGTGTGTCTGAGAGAGAGAGAGTGTGTGTGTGTGTCTGAGAGAGAGAGAGAGAGAATGTGTGTGTGTTGAGAGAGAGGAGAGAGAGGAGAGAGAGAGAGAGAGAGAGAGGAGAGAGAGAGAGAGAAGAGAGAGAGAGAGAGAGAGAGAGAGAGAGAATGTGTGTGAGTGTCTGAGAGAGAGAGAGAGAGAGCAACACACACGCTGGACGTCGCGGATGTGCAATAAATCAACGTGATCGATTGCTTAACCCTTACTCCCTCCCTCCCTTCCCCCCTCCTCCCACCCCTTCCCTCTTACCCCTTTCGTCCATCCTCTCCCCCCCACTCGGCGAGAGAGCTTTCCCCTTGCGCCAGCCAGTGGGACCCTCTCTCTCTCTCTCTCTCTCTCTCTCTCTCTCTCTCTCTCTCTTCTCTCTCTCTCTTCTCTCTCTCTTCTCTCTCTCTCTCTCTCTCTCTCTCTCTCTCTCTCTCGCTCTCGCTCTCTCTCTCGCAGACCAGTGATACTTGTTGGGAGTGCTCTCTCCGCGTGCCTTTCTCTTTCCTCTCCTCTCCTCTTCTCCTCTCTCCTCTCTCTCTCTCTCTGTGTGTATGTGTGTGGTGTGTGTGTGTGTGTGTGTGTGTGTGTGTGTGTGGTGTGTGTGTGTGTGTGTGTGTGTGTGTGTTGTGTGTGTGTGTGTGTGCTGTGTCTGCCTCTCACTCACTCTCCCTCTCTCGCTCGACAAAAACACTATGAGGATAAGGAAAGGAATAGAGAGAAAGGAGTGAAGGAAATGTGTGAAATGATAAAATAATAAAGGCCAAATAAGAAAGATAAGAAACAAACAAAGAGGAAAATATAAGAAAGGAGGAAAAGGAGAAAGAAAAAGAAAAAAAATCAGTAAAAAAAATGACCCAAGGAAAATGAAGGAAAAGAAACAAAGAAGAAAAAAACGAAAAAGAAGAAGAAAAAAGAAAAGAGAACAAAAAAAAATTATAATACCCAACACAAATAAAACCAACTAACAACAAGAGAGACAGGCCGAAGATTCTTCCTTCGCGGACGATACGCCCACCGGCCCGCCCCGGCCGCCCCGGCCGCCCCGCCCGCAGTCGCCGCCGCCCTCGGTAGATTTATGTATTTTCCATTATTTTCTTGGCGACAAACGGGCGGCGTGCAGATAGATCGATCGATAGATTTAAAGAAGGGAGAAAGTGACGAGAGAGAGAGGAGAGAGAGAATGAGGAATAAAGTTTTTAATTAGGTATCATGTATATTTTTTATCTCCTCGTTTGTGCACAGACACATACAATTGAAGAATGTAAATAACAATACAGTAATAATAACAATGATATTAATAATACTACCAACAGTGTTAATAATGATAATAAAAATGATAATAATGAAAACAATAATAATAAATAACAATTAATAAAGGACAACAACAACAACAACAACAAAATAATATAATTAATAATAATAAAATATAATAATAACAACATTAAATACTAATAAGAATAATATTACTAATAACAATAATAACAACAAATAAACGTAAAAAAAAACGCGAAAAAGATCAACCACTTTGGGCTCGCGATTCTCGGAGAACCGCGAGCGGCTCGAGGAGGCTCGCAGGAAAGCAAGTCACGGAGCCTCTTTCCGCCGCCGAACGGCTTGGCATTCGGCCTTTGTCTTCCTCGGCTGGCTCCGGTGGGGGGGAAGGGGGGGGGGAGGGGAGGGGTATGGGAGGGGGTCGTTGTTTTGGTGTGGGTGTGTGCTTTGCTTGAATGTGTTTGTGATTTTAGTTTTATTTTATTTTATTATTTTTTTATTTTTTGTCTATTTGTTTTTTTTTGTGTGTGTGTGTCAGTTACTTTTTATTTCATTTTATCATTTTATTAGTAAATGGGGTGATTATGTAATTTGTGAATATTTCTTTCTTTCTTTTTTCTTTCTTTCTTTCTTTGTCTCGGTCATTTCATTCTCTCTCTCTCTCTCTCTCTCTCTCTCTTCTCTCTCTTCCTCTTCTCTCTCTCTCTCTCTCTCTCTCTCTCTTCCTCTCTCTCTCTCTCATCTCTCTTCTCTCCCTTTCTCTTTCATTCATAGCTCCCCCATCTCCCTCGGAAATAATTCAAGGGGCTAAAAGTCTGAACGCGGGAGACAGCACTTTTTTCATTTCTTTTTGCGGACACTCATATATTAAAAAGATCTCCTCCTCCTCCTCCCTCCTCCTCTTTCGCTTCTCATTCTTCTTCTCACTCTTCTTCTTTTCTCCTTCTTTTCTCTCTTCTCCACCTCCTTTTCTTCGTTTCTTTTTTTTTTTCTTCTTCTTCTTCTTCTTCATCCTTTCCTTTTCCCTCCCTTCTTTTTCTCTCTCATCTCCTCTCTTTCCTCGCCCCCTCTCACTCTCCCCTCCCTCCCTCTCACCCTCCTCCCTCCTCTCCTCCTCCCTCTCCTCTCCTTCCTTAACGTCAGCTCGCACGAGGCATCATCCTGTCTCTCCTAATTCGGGTTCTTGGCGTCTTCAGACGAGGGAGGGAGGGAGGGGGGAGGATGGAGGGGAGGGAGGGTGGGAAGGAAGGAAATGGGAAGGGACAGGGAAAAATAGGAAAGACAGCAAACGAGAGAAAGAGAAAGAGAGAAAAAGATAGAAAGAAAGAGAGTGATTGAGAGAGAGAGGAAGAATGAGAGAAAGAAAGAAAGGTTAGGGAATAGAGCGAGAGGAGAGAAATGAGAAAAAGAAAGATAGAGATGAAAGAAAGAGAGCGAGAGCGAGAGATAGAGAGAATTAGAATGTAATGAAAAGAGCAAGAAAGTAGAGAGAGGAGAGAGAGAGGCGGAGCAACGGGTTCCGCAAGGACAATGATCTCCCGATGGCAACACCCCCTCCCACTTTTGAGTTCCCGCAACAAGTTAGCGAATCGGTTCTTCAAGAAGCCAAAATAAATAATGGGCGAAGAGGACTGCACGACTGGGTTTTTTCATTTATTCTCTTTTTTTATGGAACGAGAGCAAGATGACAGGAGATGAAGAGGGAGAGGGAGAGGAAGGAATGGAGAGGGGAAGAGGAAGAGGAAAAAGAGAAGATGAAGAGGAGAGGGAGAGGAGAGGGAAGGAGATGAAGAGGAAGACAGAGAAGGCGAAGACGAAGAAGAAGAGGAAGACAAAGACGAAGAGGATGACAAATAAAAAGGAGGATAAAAATAGCATTAGAGGAGGAGAGGAATAAGAGGAGGAAAGGAAAGGGAGAAGGGGGTGGGGGAAATAGAAGAAAAATGGAGGTGGAGCTGGAAAAGTGTGTATGCGTGTGTATGTATACGTGTGTGTATGTGGGTGTGCGTGAACGTGGAACGTTGGGCGTGTACGTGTTATGTAGTGATGCGTGCGAGCCCGTGTCTCTGTGTGCGTGTCCTTCCGTGGGCTGTGGTCGTGTGCACCGCGTATGTGCGTGAAAACCAGCCCAAACGTCTCCTGATTCTGGGCCGAAACTGAGCCCAGGAAAGGGGCTGTTTACTCTCCTCTCTCGCTTCTGTGGCCTCGCTTTTGCCCCCTCTCCCCTGCCCCCTCTCTTCTCTTCTCGTTCTTGATCTTCTCTCTCTCTCTGTTCTCATTCTCATTATCGCTTTCTTTTTCCTTTCATTTGTCTCTCTCTCTTCTTCTCTCTCTCTCTCTCGTTCTTTCTCTCTCCTCCTCTCTCTTCTCTCTCCTCTCTCTTCTCTCT